AAAAAAAAAAAAAAAAAAAAAAAAAGGTTAATATCCTGCAGAATTCCTTCTAGAGAACAGGGCAGAGGCCTTCCTCAGTCCTTATTGCTGCGCAGTCCTCCATGGTGCAACATGCTCAGCTCCTTTTACAGCTCACAGACGTTGCATTCTTTTTTTTTAAAAAAAAAGATTTATTTATCTATTATGTATACAGTATTCTGCCTACATATATCCTATAGGCCAGTAGAGGGCATCAGACCTCATTACAGCTGGTGTGAGCCACCATGTGGTTGCTGGGAATTGAACTCAGGACCTCTGGTAGAGCAGTCAGTGCTCTCAACCTCTGAGCCATCTCTCCAGCCCAATTCACCACATTCTTACTGTAGGTGAAAAGCTGAGCCACGTGTCACAGACTGAAAACGGCTGTGGTGTATTTACACAGTCATTACGTGTACAGCAGGTATTTGTGTCCACCTAACTATGGATCAAAAATATTTAGAAAAAAAGTTACATGAGAGGGCCTGGTGAGATAGCAGCTCAGTTAAGAGTGGATGCTGCTCTTGCAGAGGAGCTGAGCTTGGTTCCCTGCACAGCAGCTATGTAAGTTGGCTACAATTGCTTCTAACTCTACCTCCAGTGGGTCTGATGTGCACAAATCCATATACACATCAAAATCCAATGAAAAGTGTAGTGAATGATTATATAGATGTTTTCTAGCCACTATTTCACACACAGTACAGTGTGGCAACCGTTCTGACCGCCACCTGCCTGGGTTCAGGAATTAGGACTTGTCTAGAGATGATGTAAGGTCTAAGAGACGCCTGGGGTGTAGCTCAATGGTGGAGTACCGACCTGTCATCCAGGAGGACCTGAGTTTGACCCCAACCCCTGCACGATAGGTGCCTTGGCATTGTAGTAATCCCAGCACCCCTGAGGTAGAAAGAGAAATCATTGGGAGGACATCCTTCAGCCCAGAATATTCCTGCCCAGTGTGGGCCATATGAAACCCTGTATCAAAAACAACAACAACAAAACAATAGCCACAAAACTGATTCTCGAGCCAGGGAGATGGTTCAGCAAGGAGTTCAAAACCTCACAGTGCAGTAGGAGAGAAGCAACTCCCAAAGGTTGTCCTCTGACCTCCACCCCCACTCCAAGCATGCCTATAACTGTGCTTAAACACACCTATGTGAATATGCACGCACACACACACATACACATAATTTTTTAAGCATAAGAGGATTTTGCATATTCCATGCAAACATCACATACCATTTTACAGAAGGGACTCGAGCATGGATAGAGCTCCCATGGGATCCTGTCCCTCACAGACCATGAGGGACAATACATTTGTTTGCCCAAGCACTTGTGGTCCAAGTAAGTGGGAGGCCATGCAGAATGGGACAGGGAGCTGTGGGACCCCAGGTCTCACCACACAGATGCCCCCTCCCCAGATCCACAAGACCAGCAGCACCCTGACCTACGACATCCACTACTGGATCGGCCAGAACTCATCCCAGGATGAGCAGGGGGCAGCTGCCATCTACACGACACAGATGGATGACTACCTCAAGGGCCGGGCTGTCCAGCACCGCGAGGTCCAAGGCAACGAGAGCGAGACTTTCCGCAGCTACTTCAAGCAAGGCCTTGTGTAGGGAGGGGTGCGGTGGGGCTGGGGAGGCTCCCAAGATTGGTCACCGAGGTGGGGATTAGGACATAGGGGCTGGGCTGGAGAGAAGGGGACACTGAGACTCTGGGCAGTGGGAGGTGCCCCAGGCTAGGAAGCAAGCCTGGATGAAGCTCTGGAGGTTGTGGGAAGCTCCTGCGGCCTTTGCTGATTTTTCTCCACCTTTCCACTCCTCACCTTTATTTCTGCTGTTGCCCTCACCCGGGCCCTGTCCCTCTGAGTCTGCTTTCACTTGATTTATCCCTTGGGCTCTTCTAAGATCCCATGACTATGGCCGATGAATTCTGTCTTCGTTCCTGTCTAGGTGTGGTGGACTGCTCGTTGCCTGAGCACCCCAAACCCCGCCCCTCAGGCTATCACACCAAACCCCGCCCCTCAGGCTATCACACCAAACCCCGCCCCTCAGGCCAACTCGCAGGTGGCTGCTTCCTCTTCTCTAACCAGGCCTTTCACTAACAACTCTAGAAAAGTCTGAAGCTCTGTCTGGCTGCCTTTCCTCATGGAAACACCTGCTTCTCTAGAGCTGAGTTGTCTTTTCCTTGTAGGAGGCCAAAGCTCAATAGCCTCTGGGCATTCAAGTGGCCACTCTCCTTTCTTCCTCCTCAGTGCCCTGTGTCTGGGGCCCTGGCCTTATTCCAGTTTTCTTCTCTCCAGACCTCACCACGACTGATTACCATTGCAGACCCTTCTGCAGGGCGGGGAGCTAAGGCGAGGGGCAGGAAGACCTACATTGCAGGGGAGGGGGGTGGGGTCAGGTGCTTGCTCCAAGCTAACAAAACATTTGCAGGACACTGATGAGGAGTGTAACTTTGATGTTTGAACCTTAAGTATTTCCTTTGCCTCAGCCTGTCCCAGTTGGGGCCTCAGAGGAGTGCAGGCAGCTCAAGGACCTTGGCATACCTCCTGACTCAATACCCTTTCTTTCCTTTCTCTCTCAGGATCCAGAAAGGGGGAGTGGCTTCTGGCATGAAGCACGTGGAAACGAATTCCAGCGATGTCCGGCGGCTGTTGCACGTCAAGGGCAAGAGGAATGTGCTGGCTGGAGAGGTGGGCAGACCCAGCCAGGACACTGGCTGGCAACTGAGCAGGGCTGAGTGAAGTGAGGGTGGCCAGAGGTAAAAGGCTCGCAGTGGGCGCTGGACCTTCCTGTGCCCTCTAGGTGGAGATGTCCTGGAAGAGCTTCAACAGAGGGGATGTCTTCCTGCTGGACCTCGGGAAACTCATCATCCAGTGGAATGGACCAGACAGCAACCGCATGGAGAGACTTCGGGTAACCCTGACAGACACCTCATCTCTGTAATGCAGCAGGCCTCACCTGCTTTAGCAGCCTCGGCAGCACGCCCCCCCCCCCCCCCCCCCCCACCCTATGAAAGTAGACAGAGAGGCAATGCTGCTGTGTGACTGTGTTAGGCTAATGACTAACTTAAGATTTACGGCACGGGTGACCCCATCAGGTCCCACAGCAGGCGAGAAACAGACAGATACGCCATGCTGAGAGAGCTTGGGTATGGAGAGTTTATTTAGTGGGTATTGGGAGGATATGGGAAGGCAGGGGGTATGGAGGGGAGAGAGAAATTGAGAGAGAGAGAGAGAGAGAGAGAGAGAGAGAGAGAGAGAAAGGGGAAGGAGAGAGGGAGGGAGCTGATGCCTCTTCAGAAGGACAGAGAGAGAGAGAGAAAGGAAGAGAGGCAAGATCACCTTGCTTCAGAAGGAAGGGGGAGATTGGGAGCGGGCAGAGTGCGTCTCTTAAAGGGACAGGGCACCCAGGTGAATGGGCAGGCCAGCATAACTATAATTATAATACTAGCCCTTAAGGTGGAATAGGTCCCTGGAGTGTGGCAGACCCCATGTTCAGCCTTGGGTATTCAGGGATGGATGAAGTGGCCTTGCTCTGCCTGGAAACTGGCCATCCTGTCAAGAAGCCAGAAAGAAAAGGGAGAATGAGAGGAATGATTGCTGCAGGAGTGGTACTAGGGAAGCTTTGGGGACCAGATGGAGCTACGGCAAAGGCCCTGGGTCAGTAGGGATCCCTTCAGGCCAGTGGGAATATGATGAGCGGCCAGCAGGTCTCACAGACAGGATGTGTGGCCAGCAGGCTGGGAAAAAGTGTTAGGTCTTTTGGTTGGGATACCCAGTTAATAGAGCTTATCTGATTTCTGAGTAGAAATGGGCTGGGGAGAGGAGCAGCTGGAATCTGGGCTTCACTTTGTACAGGATGAGGACCCCAAAGCCTTGTGCTTGAGACAGTAGGAACAGTAGCAGGCCAAGTCCTGAGATGGGAATGATCTCAGGGAGACACAGAGGCCCTTTTGGCTATCTGAAGAGGGGTTGTCCTAGGAGGAGAGCCCGAGAGCTAGGCCAGAGACAGAAGCAAGAGAATGACTATCCCCGAGGGCCAAGGAACTCTAGAGAGCCCATGAAAGGAGGGGCTCTGGGCTAAAGAAGAGCACACTACAGTGTGCAGGCACCCAGGGGCTTATGTGTGTATATACGTGCTTGTGTGAGCGTTCATGGACTGAGCTGTGTGTGTATGAATGTGTTATATAGGTATGTACATGTGAATTTGCATGTGTACTGTGAGCGTGGGTGCTTTGGGTAGACTGAATATAGTACTAACATCTTTGAGGGTCAGCTTTTGTACAAAACCATGAAAGGAAACCACAGATTCCCAACAATGTCAAAACTAAAGGTCTAGATTCCCTATCCCGCTCCCCCAGACGCCTTGTCCATTTCTATGAGGAAATCTACTTTCCCAGGGCTTCCTACTGTTTCTCACACACCTGACAAGCCTTGTCTCCACCCCTTGTAAATCTGCAAGGTGGGGTGAGGTTTGCCCTGCAAAGTCCAGGGTGGTGAACAGTACTGCCCTGTCTGCTGCTGCTGACCTTCAAAGATCATCTGTGACCTTCCTGCAGGGCATGACCTTGGCCAAAGAGATCCGAGACCAGGAACGGGGTGGACGCACCTACGTGGGTGTGGTGGAAGGGGAGAAGGAAGGGGACTCCCCGGAGCTGATGGCAATTATGAACCACGTGCTGGGCCAGCGCAAGGAACTGAAGGCAGCAATTCCTGACACAGTGGTGGAGTCGGCGGCTAAGGCCGCACTCAAGCTGTACCAGTGAGTTCTGGGCCAGGCCTTCCTGAGTGCGAGGCCTTCCTGGGTGCGGAGCCTTCCTGGGTGCCGGGGCCTTCCTGGGTGCGGGGCTTCCCAGGTGCGGGGCCTTCCTGGGTGCGGGGTCTTCCTGAGTGCGGGGCCTTCCTGGGTGCCGGGGGTCTTCCTGAGTGTGGGGTTTTCCTGAGTGCGGGGCCTTCCTGAGTGTGGGGTCTTCCTGAGTGCGGGGCCTTCCTGGGTGCGGGGTCTTCCTGAGTGCGGGGCCTTCCTGGGTACGGGGCCTTCCTGGGGTAGGGTGTCCTGGCTGTGGCACCTCCTATCCATGCCTTGCTTTGTCCTGCAGTGTGTCTGACTCGGAAGGAAAACTGGTGGTTAGGGAAGTTGCTACTCGGCCACTCACACAGGACCTGCTCAGCCATGAGGTGAGAAGGGGCTGGAGGACCCCAAGCAAGGGACACCCCCCAAGTGCTAACATCTAGGGATACCTAGCCCCCGTTCCTTCCCCAACACCACAGGCTCATTTAGTTTTTTCTCTGCTGACTCTAGGATTGTTATATCCTGGACCAGGGAGGTCTGAAGATCTTTGTGTGGAAGGGGAAAAAAGCCAATGAGCAGGAGAGGAGTGGGGCCATGAACCAGGCCCTGGTAAGGAAAGGGTCTGGCCCAGTGGTTCTCAATTTCCTAATACTGTGACTCTTTAGTACAGGTCCTCATGTTGTGCTCACCCCCGAGCATAAAATTTATTCCATCGCCACATCGTAACTGTAGTTTTGCTACTGTTATGAATCAGAATATAAATATTTGATATGTAGGATATCTGCTCCGCAACCCCAAAGGGGTTGTAATTCACAGGTTGAGAATTCCTGGTCTAGCAGCAGCAGAGGAAGAAGAGAAGGACTCAGACAGGCCATAACACCAGGCAGAGTCCAAGGAAGATTCGGGGAGGGCAGGGCTGGGGGTGGGGACGGATGGATCCAGTTGTTGAGGTCACCAGCATCCTGGTCCTCAGCATATGAGCGAGCCAACTACCAGCCAATCCTGGGCCTCCCTAGGGTGTTGGGTGATACACCCCATGCAAGAGCTTGGCTTAGAGAAGGGAATGGCTAGTCTTCCTCCAAAAAGGGTTGAGTGGGCATGGGGCTAGGGCGCTTGAATTAGAATTGAGGAGGTATAGTTAAGCTAAGGGTCAGATCTGTTGGGATCAGAGTTAGGTGTAGGGTCAATATTAGATTCAGGGCTGAGGTTAGAGTGCTCATTTGAGACACTATCAGGTATAGCCTTGATTGGAGTAGGTTAGTAGGGTTACGTTTGGGGTCAGCATTGGGGTCCGGGCTGGGCACAGTCAGGGTTGGGGCCAGGTGGATCTGGCTTTGGCTTGCTTGGGGTGTGGCAACTACGGACAGGAGGCGCTAGCCTCCAACGGCCCCCTTATTTTCCCAGAACTTCATCAAAGCCAAGCAGTACCCACCGAGCACACAGGTTGAGGTGCAGAACGACGGGGCGGAGTCAGCCATCTTCCAGCAGCTCTTCCAGAAGTGGACTGTGCCCAATCAGACCACAGGCCTGGGCAAAACATACACTGTGGGCTCCGTGGGTGAGAAGCCACGCCCCCTCAGCTCCCTGGGGGTGGTACTGAGAGCCTAGGGGACTAAAGAAGCTCAAGAGCTATCACCAGAAAGGGAGCTAACATAACTTGCCGTGGAACGGGACGGGGTTGAGCCTCCCTGGGAACCAAACACTTCTCACCAGACTGTATTTGCTTAGACACTGGGGGAGGAATTCAAAGGAAAGGACGGCTTGTAGCCTCCATCACTGTGGTTTCCCTGACAAGCTGGGGGATGGGGGTAAGGTGGTGTTTGAAGTCTGAATGCTTCCAGGGAGTCAGACCAAATAGAGCTCTGTCTTGATCCTGATTCCTGATCCTGCTTCCCTGATTAGGTCAGTGCCTTAGGGGCAGGGAGCAGTCACTTAGGTGTCTGTGTGGCTTTGGATAGGTAGTTAAATCTGTCTGGCTTTAGTTTCTTCGTCTATTGTGTTGGTCTACAAATCCCAGCACTCAGGACTGTAGAGAAGGCGTGGGGCACCTCACTTAGTGACAGTTCGTGTCCTCATCTCTCCAGCCAAGGTGGAACAGGTAAAGTTTGATGCTACGTCCATGCATGTACAGCCTCAAGTGGCTGCCCAGCAGAAGATGGTGGACGACGGGAGTGGGGAGGTGCAGGTGAGTGAGGGAAGGAGGACAGGCTGGTGGGAAAGGGGTAACCCAGGCTGGACCTCATACAGGTCTGATTCTGCTCCCAGGTGTGGCGCATCGAGAACTTAGAGCTGGTGCCTGTGGATTCCAAGTGGCTGGGCCATTTCTATGGTGGCGACTGCTACCTGCTGCTCTACACCTACCTCATAGGCGAGAAGGAACACTACCTGTTGTATATCTGGCAGGTGAGGCCCTGCCCACCCCACTGGCAGCACAGCTGCTCAGCTCCCACAGCCCACCAGCAGCACAGCTGCTCAGCTCCCCACGCCCTACCTGTAGCACAGCTGCTCAGCAGCCCCATCCCACCTGCAGCACAGCTGCTCAGTCTCCCCAGCCCACCTGCAGCACAGCTGCTCCGCCTCCCCAGCCCACCTGCAGCATAGCTGCTCAGTCTCCTCATCCCACCTGCAGCACAGCTGCTCAGTCTCCTAGGCCCACCTGCAGCACAGCTGCTCAGTCTCCCCAATCCCTGCCATCACCCATGTGTTGGATACCCCTGGAGGTGAGAAACTCACTTTCTCCAGAGGCAGCTTTTCCCATCCTCGGTGGCTTTGCTCTAAAATTGTTCCTATTGGGTCTTCCCATTCAGAGCTCTTTCCTTTTGGTTCAGAGTGTCAATTCTAATCCTTGCCACACACTGCATGGGGACTCTGTGTCAGATGCCTGAGTGCAGGGAGTGAGTTGTGTGATATTTTTCTGAGGATGGAATAGGAAGAATAGAACATGTTTGGGGTCAGCCATGGGTATGAGGTGAGTCAGGACTGGACTGGGAAAGGATTAGAGCTGGGGCTAGGGTCAGAAAAAGCACAGTCTATTGGGGTTAGGTTTGGGTTGTGTTCAGTGTAGGCTTGATGGGGAGGCCATGGGTCCAGTCAGGCCATATTTGGGGATGTAGTTCCATTGGTGGAGTGCTTGCCTAACATACACAAAGCCTAGGTTTAGTCCCCAGCCTTGTATCTAACCTGGTGTGGTAGCAAATACCTGTAATTCCAGCACTCAGGAGGTGGAGGGAGGAAGATCATCCCTCCATCAAGGCCTATATCATCCTAGTCTATATAGTACATTCTAGGCCAGCCTGGGATACATAGACCCAGCCTAAAAAAGAAAAGGGGGGGGGGAGGCAGTGGTAGTGCATACCTTTAATCCCAGCACTTGGGAGG